TCGGTTTGGTCGGTTCGGTTTTGTTGGTTTTTTTGAGTTCTTCGGGTTTTTTGTTAATTAAATATTATTTCAATCTTACTTTGTTAAATTTTTTTATATATGTTTAGTAAAAATTTTAAAAACTCACAAACATATTATCTATTAAAATATTTTAATAGGATAATTTACTTAGTAACACATGATAGTTGTTTTTTTTATTATTTAATAATAATTTTTCGTTGATATACACTTTCAAGATTAATCGAATTTAGTAACTGAACATAAAAAATCAATATGATATCTAAATAATAATAACCACTTCAAATTCGAAAAGATATAGACATTTAATAGATTTTTACATATGAATATGGAAGAACAAAGATGCATTACAGTAACACTTCATAAGATAGTGATCATACAACCACTATTTAAGGTAAATAAATATGGAGCACTTCATATTTTATTAAATATTATATCCCGTTCTAGATATTTTTTAAAAAGAGTTCTATATAAAATCTTTTTTATATATATATATATAATTTATATATTTATATATTGGTTTGGTTCGAGTTCTTTTAACAATATCAAACAAAATCAAATCAAACCTAGTCGAGTTTTTTTATGGATTTGATTTGAATTTTCCATTTGATTCGGGTTTTTAGTTCGGTTTATACACCCTCCTTTACCTGTGTTTTGTGTTCCAGGGCCGGGCAGGAGTGGAGGCCCAAATTTGCAGAGCCCTGTGTTACTAAAGCCCCAATTGGGTAATGGGAAGAAAGAACAATCAACAATGGCAGGTGAGGAAGAAGTCGAAGTCGAAGTCGAAGTGGAGCAGCAGCAGCCATGTCCACCACCACCACTCTCTAAGAACGCGCAAAAGAAACTGATTAAGCAGCAACGATACGAGGCCAAAAAGGCGGAGAAAAAGGCACTGCTGAAAGAGCAGAAGAAGAAAGAAGCTGAACGCAAGCGTAAAGAATGGGAGGACAAGTTGGCCGCCGCTACCGAAGAGGAAAAGCAACAGTTGATAGAGTCCAAACTGTCTCTCAGGAAAGAGAGAATGGACCAACGAACCGAAGAAAAAGGAAAGAAGATGCAGAGGCTCACTGAAGCTAAACAAAATGGGCAAAATGTAGTTATTGATCTCGAGTTTGGTCATCTCATGAACTCCAGTGAGCTCCATAGCCTCGTCCAACAGGTTCTTTTTTTTTTCATTTTCTATACTCATTTGTTGTTACATTCTATTCCTTTCTATAAAAAAAGAATGACAAGTTAAATTATTTTTTTTGTGTATGTGCAATTGTAGTTTTTTCTATAAATCATATCACAGTTACAAAATAATCAAAATACTATTTGACTGGTTATTCTGTTGGACAAACGAATAATTTTGTATTTTGGATAGAGAAGATGCGACATTCCAATAAAAATCTAATCTTGAGATGATTTGATCTGTTTGACTAGGAGACACCACTTATGTTTTGTGACATGGTGCCTTTCCACATTAAATACTTATTACACTAGAAGCCTAAAGTCACTGTATTCTATGCTCTCCGAAAATTTTGCCAGATACTCCAAATATAGTGTATTTTTGGAGAATCCGACCCGGGTGCGGCATCATTTTGGAGAGTCCGTGCAACATAGACTATATTTATTCCATTATTCTTAGCTGATTCCATTTAATTGGGTTTATGTGGCAGTTGCAGTATACCCGAATAGTCATGACATGAAGCTGAATCTTGAACTAATTCTTTACAAATGCAATTTTGCCTTACATGTTTGAACAAAGCTAACTTTATTGGACTTATGGCAGATCATGTACTGTTATGCCGTGAATGCAAGATGTAATTCTCCTGCTCACCTTTGGTTGACTGGCTGTCAAGGAGAAATGCAAGATCAGCTGCAGAGGCTACCAGGATTTGACAAGTGGATAATTGAGAAGGAGAACCGGCCTTATATTGATGCATTCCAAGATCAGAAGGAACACCTTGTGTATCTTACTGCAGACTCTGAAACAACGATAGACGTCCTTGATCCAAATCATATATATATCATTGGTGGGTTGGTGGATAGAAATCGGTGGAAAGGGCTAACCATGAAAAAAGCAGAAGACCAAGGGATTCAAACAGCTAAACTCCCAATAGGAACTTACCTAAAGATGTCTAGTTCCCAGGTATTGAATCATTTGGCTACTTCTCTCTGTTGCCTTGATACCCTGCATTGTGAACTATGTTAATGAGGTAAAACCTGAGTTCTTGTGACACTCTTTATGATTGACAGTGAAATTGACAGATGGTTTTGCTGGTTAGGATGATTATTTGAGGTATGCTGCTAGGCTATGTGCCTCAATTTGTTCACATGAAAAACAACACTAGCTAATAAGGTTCTAGATATGTATCTTGAAGCTGAACTCTTAGGAGCCTGCTCATTGTATCTGTGCTGGAAGAAAATCTAACGACAGTAATGTGACTTGCTATATAAACATTTGTTTTAAATACTTCCGCATAGTCTGCAGGATATCAATAAAGTACTATACTTTTTCTCTGGGATAATATTAAGTTGGTTACTTTGACCTTGACAGCTCTTGTTAAAGGATGTCACTTATCAGCATATTGGATTATTGACTCATAGTCTTCTTGAGTACAAGGGTTAGGGTTCCATAAGGTTAGTGTGTTGAAATGCGTAAAATATGAATGTATTTGGAGGTAAAAGACATGTCACCAGCATTATAAACTTTTAGATTCAAATTGTTGCTAGTACTTCATAGTGGTTAAACTTTCCTAGTTTTGAGAGCACGAGATGGAATTATTGCGTTGAGTGAGCATAGGACACTCATAATAGTCTGAGAGACCGCCTGCTGAGGTTTATTTTGAAGCTAAAGAATCTTGTTTGTGTTTCCTTCAGTATATGTCACGCCACTTTAAGCTATGCACCTCATGGTAATTTAATATTACCTCGATAAATATCTCAAAGATGTCAGATCTCTAATTATCTTATCTGTATTTAGTGGCACAATTTCTTCCTAATATCCTGATTCATCATTTGAGCGTGTATTTTGTCCATAGAAGAAGTTTGAAAATTAGCAGCATGAATGATCCATTAGCGTATGATACATATGCATGAATAGTGAATCTTATATCTTTTGGTACAACTGCTGGTGTATAACACATGGGACGATTGTCATTTTAGTGAAGAAAAAGGGTTAGTAGGTGGTTTGATGCTAAAAGTGGAGCATAAATACGACACCACCTCGAAAAAATATTGTATTCAACTTAAACCAGCAATTAACTGCGTATATCATATATTGATGGTATCTTGTGTTCTCATGTGTTACTTATTCCTTTTATTTTGCTGAGTCTTCTCAAAAATATTTTTCTCCTAGCCAAGAGTTGAGAAGATATAGTTAAAGTTGCTCCATCTTAAATGCCCGGAGATCAGGGACCTTCATGATGACGCATGATCAGTCCTTTTGTATACCTAAGAAATATATCTGTTTACTTAATAAATATTATTAAAGGTGTATAGTTGCCTTCTTCATGTACTTAGACTACCAATATATCTCAACTTGATTTCATTTATTTTTTTTAAAATTATTTAACCTTTGCTTGGCTCTGATTCTGGACGCACATTATTGCATGATCTAATTTTATAGAATGGATTTTGTTACGCTAGTAGAAACTGTTTCTGCACTGATTATATGTTGTATGTAAAATAGAGGAATAATGCAAACATTAAAAGATATGATGGCATTGTGCATTTCAGTAGAAGTGTATATAAAGGTTTGGTGTATCAACTTGAGGGACAGATATGCACCAGATTATTGCAATTTGCATCTTGAGAGAACAGATACTGCGTTATTTTTTATGTGCTAGACTGGTAACATGGTCAATTAGTATCTTCTCTTTTCTTTGCCAATAAATTTTAGTGACCAGTGGTGCTACTACTATATGGTTAGTGTAGATCACATTATGAAAACCCTCTGTTTGTCCTAACATGTATTTTTCTGATGCAGGTCCTTACCGTCAATCAAGTGGTTGAGATACTTCTGAAATACTTGGAGACAGGAGACTGGAAAACATCATTCTTTGAAGTGATTCCACAAAGGAAAAGATGTGAGGCTGAATCCAAAGAGGGTGATAATGATATTGAACGGGTAGAAAAGACTGAAGGGAAAGATGATCACGAGTTTAAAAGACGTGATATTGAACAGGAAGAAGAGACTGAAGGGAAAGATGATCACGAGTTTAAAAGACAGTGCATTGAGAGTTGAAGTTTCAAAAGCTTCCCCCTAGATCCGATCAGGACAGTCTTTGGGTATCATCTTGTTCTCCAGAGCATGTCCTGGAGAGAAGGCAATTTAAGGTGCAATTACCTTGTTGAGGATGTCTTGGCATTATTTTTTATTTCTTCCTCGTGCAGCTCATCTTTTGGGTATATAAGCATGTTGGAAAGGATAATTTTGTTGTATTTTGCCTTCGGCAAACTTGAGACGACAAACAGATGATATGCTTTTTGTCTAGTAGTGATCAGAATAGAGTCCGTGCTATGCTAAGCGTTGTTCCTGCAAAAAACTAGCCGTGTGCAATCCATTCCAACAAATTGATCAAGACCAGAAGTTTATAAGTACTATACGGCTTTGGCTTGTTACTTTAACCACTTGATGCAACTTTATTGGTCCATTTAATGTTTCAGTCCTTTATCACTGTAATATCAGCCTAGACTTGGGAACGGAATACTTGGTGTTTGATTGGGTTCGAACCATTTGCATCAAAAGATATACAAGGCGCAGGTAATCATGAACCAAATACTCAAAATAGACAGGCAGCAAAATATACAAAAAGCAAAATGGAAGCCACCGTTTGGCTCGCTTTGTTCAAAAGAAGTACCACTAAACTTTGCAAAGAACTAATCTAAGATTGTCAAAGATCCCAAATTAGGTAACAACCCAACAAGATTGAGAGAAAAAGCAGCTTATTTTCTTCTCTGCTCTTGCAATTTTCAACAGCTTCCTTCAGCAGTGACACTTACTCCTTAGCCTCCTCCGGAAGAGACTCTACATCATTGTCCACAGTAGCCACTGCACCATGAGAAGAGCTTCCATTTGATGTATCCCTCTGTATATAACCGTTGCCCATTGGTGGTGGATACGCAAAGTATCCATGGTGATGAGCCATTGAAAAAGGAGGCAACTGATAGGGCGCCATGGTCGTCATGCTAGCTGAAGCAGGATCAATCATTGGCCGCTTCATCAGCAAAGGTTCCCCTCTCAAAGATCCACGCTCACCACCATCAAACTCACGATAACGATGCAAGTATAAAGTCAAGGGTTCAATGTAGTCATCAAAACCAAGCTTGCTCATGGCCCAAAGAACGTCCTCAGCAGTGATGGTCTTCCGCTGCTCACGCTGGCAACGCTCGTTGGCTTCGCCAGTGATGAAGCTTATGAACTCAGACACACATTCTTGGATGGTCTCTTTGGAGTCATCCGATATCTTGGCATGCGGAGGAAGGATTCTGCGCATGATTCTGATCACGTTTGCTATTGGCATGAACCGGTCTTGCTCCCGAATGGTGCATTCAGAATCTTGTTCTGAGTTGGTGGTGGCATTATTGTTTGTATTAGCAGCAATGGCCTGGTTGAGATGACCAGACAGTCCCATGCTCATGTCTGTAGCTTTCACACATCAACAAAGAATTCTAGCATAAGACTAAGCGTATACATATACAGTATATACTAGAAAACACTAAGTCGCATTAATTTTTTACTACTTACTTAGTGACTTTTCAAAGTTTGTTCGATATTGAATAAACAAAATCATTGTCGTATATATGTTTCACCAATGTGAAGCTAGCTGGTCGTAGGTCACATAAGACACCACTAAAAGAGACGAGGCCTTTTGGACAATAGGTTATTCATGTCACTCCAAATTTTAAAAGAGCCACGACAAATGATGGTGCGAATGCAGACTAATTAAACTAACAGAAACTAAAACGCTTCATGTTTTCGTCGTCATCTTACTTTGTCTACTCGTCAACCATCCAATACACGCGGCTCACACTCTTAGTTAATCCCCCACAACTAACCCTCACAGTCACATATACCAAAATCATCCAAACTTGCCCTTGGTCCTCTGATCAAAAAGTTTTTTCTATTTTCTTTTTCCATAATTATGATAGGAAAAAGACAAAAGTGTTATTGTAACGGACACTGCTTTCATATGTACTACTACTAAAGAGTTGTTCCTAAAGTTATATGCCTCTTAACTTTGGTAAAAGAACAGCTATATTTTAAGTATATATGTACAAAAGGTGGAGTGGCACAAATTTATTACTACTTCCGTTTATTTGTTATATATATATATATCCTCTATTGTTATGCCAAAATCAGCGAACGCTAATGCTACTATAGCTTCACAAATTAGTTATATATATATATATATATATAGATCGGAGATATAGAATTTGTCCTCATATGTAATGCAGACCATAAGGCACCGAGAAGCTCCCTCTAGGCACTAACTTCATACTCCTACGCATAATCTTTATTGTACTAAATATACAAGGCTTATTGCAAAACAGCTGGTTTAATTTCTTTCAGACGAAGAATCAGACGAAGTAAGATTATTGCTTTTGACGGGGGATTCCTCTCTCTTTTCCTCTTTTTTTTTTCTTTTTTTTGTTGGGGGAGGGGGAGTGTGGGTATTATAAGTGACACGTGCACATAAAGGGTAAAGACGACATACTATAGGTTAAGAGATTGCATGCATGCCACTTGTTTCCATTTTGTCTTGAAAAGTTACAATTTTTGTTCGAATTTACAAACCAGAAATGATATATCACCAAAGCATTTGCAAAAGCACCATGAATCTATTCAAGGATATATACAGACATATAGGGATATTCAAGAAAGTTCTAAAAAATTGAATAATCAATCTTACTAATTAAAGTATGTATATTAAGAATAGCCTCACGCAGAGAAAGACGATACAAGAAACGTAGAGAAGCTTAGCTCTCTATTTCACCAGAATGTATCTACATTTCATAGATATCTGTTCGCTAGTACTTAATAGAGCTAAAGAAGATAACGAAAAACATATATAGGAAGATAAATAATGACTTAGATGTTTAGGAGTGAACGAATAATTAATTAATTATTACTAGTTGGACAAACTCTCTTGATGAAAACATGCAGTGTCGCCGCTTTGCTCTTTCTATTCTCTCTTTCTTATATTGGGAGGTTAAGGAATGTATATATAGATGGGCTTCAGCATAAAACATTCACGAATATTAGATGTCCCCTCATATATATAGCTCCACTCTCTTTTTGACCGTAAAAAAAAAAAGTTGTGCTTAAGAAAAATTGAAAGCTGAAACCTGATAAGAAAACAAGAAAATCCTACAAACGCTTGAACTCCTCCTTGGGACCATTAGAATAAGAGTCGAGCTCTGACGATAGAGTAAGTAAAATCCTGAGTATGAAAAAATCCTCGAGAACGCTATGCGACGCGAAATCGGACATAGTCGGGCTCTGACAGCAGAGGAAAACCAAAAAAATTAAAGAAAAGACAACACTTTGTATGGTATATATGGAGTAAAGAGTACGTACCAGGGGTTGGTTGAGGGAATCTGCGGTAGCCATGAAATCCTCCATTACCATTTCCTCCCCCAAGATTATCCATCTCTCGAGCTATCTAACTATAGACAGTGTTGTCTCTCTGCAACAGAAATATTAATGAAGAAAAATAGGAGTAGCAAATATGGCTGGGCAAGTGGCCATATTTATATATATATTGAAAAAAGGAAAAAAGAGAGAGGCACGTGGCAGTAGGGCGTAGTGAACGAGAAGAGGGTATTCGCCGGGATAAATAGGCTGATTCACAGTTGGGCAGATGAGCATTGACCGGAATCATGCACAGACGACCGCATAACGCCATATTTATAGAGTAACTAATTAATAGAGTAAGTAAATCAGTTTAATTTGGCCATTTGGGCGCTTTTACTTTTCTCCTTTCTCAATGCTCAGTTAAATTTAAAGTTCCAATCCAATTCAAACTGAACTGAATGCTGCATTACGGTTCAATCTGCTCACCAAATTAATGAAACTAGGCAAGCCTATGCAATTACTTCCTCCGTTCCATTTTAATTAATTGATTTTTTTTGCTATTTTCACATATATTAAGGAATTCACTTTTTAGTATTTACTTTTTTCGGTCCATAATAAATGACCAATTTATCTTTTTATTTTGATCCAAAATAAGTGTCCATTTATACAATCAAGAAAAAATTCAATTTGTTTTTTCAAAATTGCCCTTATGTATGTATCTAGTCACACTAACTATTTTTGTCTAGAATTTTGTATTTCCTTAATAGGTGTGCCCAAAGCAAATTAGTAACTTATCGTGGACCGAAGGGAGTAATTGACAATGAAATAGTCTATATTAACTTTAATTTGTTCATTAGAAATATAACAAACATTCCTAGACTCTTTACTCTAGGGCAACTTTGGAAAAGAGAAGGTAATTCCTTTTTGATATTAAAAAAAATTAAATATTGTGGATCAAAAAATTAATTAAAGTGGACCGAAAAAAATAGTAGTAATTTACAATTTATTACAGGATAAGTTCAAAGTACTGCACACTGAATCTGATATTGGTACAAAGAAAATAATAGTCCAACACAAACAAGTAAAGATATAAACCAGTGCCTTATATAGCTAGCTTTATTTTTGTGTATATATTATAGTGGTGTTTTGGGTACATGTATAGCAGGCAGTCTTCTGTTTCTCTCTTCTTGTTGGTGGAACTCGTGAGCCTCTAGTTCTCATCCAACTGACGATGTTGACTTATCCATCTTCAAATAAAGTAATGAAGGGGAATTGTATTAATAGGGAGAATTGAAATTGTGTACATTAATACAAGAGTTCATCTTCAAACTATTATAACTACTCCAAATTAGTAACCAAATCTTCCAAGGGAAGAAGGAACAGAAAATGAAGAAGGGGAGGTTCTAGAGTTAATCTAACCAACTAAGAAAATAAAGAGTCGATAGCATGTGCCTTAATTGATTATGTTTCTCTTCTATATATAGGCATCTTTCCTGAGTCCCAAAGGTAATTAGTTTGCCAACTCTCCAAATGCGTCTTCCACCGTAGCTACATTTGTTACAATACTGCCGCTCCCAATAAGAACCTTGTCCTCAAGGTTCGAGCCAAGAACAACGTGGGTTGTAGTCTCCCCATCCATTATCGCCAAACCAAAGTGTTCTGTATGGCCAAAGAAGAATATGTAACTATGTACGTGAGCTAACACAATGGCAATAGAGATAGAAGCTTCAAATTCAACCATAGCTGTAGGCATTCCATACAAGTCGTTCTCAAGTAAAATAGAAGGATGAACGCTAGATTTTGAGTCACAAGGCTAATCTGGATCCTTCAGTGAGCCAACAAGTCTTGTTCTTGAGCCACTGCCACCAACGACGACAATTGGCTTGTTAACAATTCGCACACGAACTGTGAATATCATTACATTAGCGGTAAACTGTTTTCCCACGAGATAGGATTCAACTAGATGGAACCTAGGTACAATAATCTCGAACATGGTAGCATCGAAAACAATATCTCGGATGCAGTCCAATGTGCATGCACAAAACAATATCAGCAATTCTCCCGTGTCTTCAAATTTTGTTGCAGCTATAGCAAAAAAACCAGAGGTTGAATACATGATAAACAAGGGACTAACAATTGCAACCACGTATATATATTGCTCCCGTGCTTATATCATTAGAATGAATCTGTTGCCCCTGTCTAAATGGAGCAAGCGTCGGACACGAACTGATCACGCTAACAAATGTTGTGTCAAATGGTTGATACCCACCGAGTTTCATCAAATTATACGGCTCCAATGCACCCTCGAAACATTTTGCAATTGATGCCACACTACTTGCCCCCTCACAAGTTGTTCGTGTTCTCTTTAAGACAATAGGTTTATGATAAAGACCTTCCTCAATTCGCTCTTAAGGTCCAACTCAAAGTGATTGGACACTTTGTCAGGGGCGGATGCAACTTGGTGCAAGGGGTGTCATCCGACACCGCTTCGCCAAAAAAGTTCACTATAAATTATTAATATGTACATAGTATATATTATTAAATATATAACAAGGACGCGGCTTTACATGTACTTCTTGCTAGTTTCGCTGGTCAAGTGCTTCTACGTTTTAGAGAGGTCCTGGGTTCAAACTTGAGAATTTTCAGCTTTTTCTGCTAAAACTTGTTTTTCCTCCAAGTTTGTTCCATGGTAAGTTTTTTTACTATTTTTTTCTTGGGGGAAGATGAAGTTGGTCCGAACCCAAATTGTAAAGTCAAATAATGAAAGAACATTTAAATGATTGCTTAGTGTTATTTATAGAAAATGTAGTATTTACTATTATGTGTAGCAAGAATATTCTGAATACATTTCAAAAAATGAGAACTTGTCAAGGAGAGATATAGTATTATACTTGAATTCCTTTTTTTAATAAGATTTGAATTTGTATTATTTTTATGTGTATCGTGACAATAATTTATCTATTTGTTCACTTCATTAAAAGCGACACCGCTTACGTAAAATCATGCGTCCACCCCTGACCTTGTTATTAAAATCTATGTTACTAACATCATTGGACAGATTAT